GTCTTTATTTATGTCCTTCCTAGCTGCCTTATGTTTCCTCTCTGTGCTTTTCTCCCTCCTCTTCACTGTCAAATCAGGCGATAGAAAATGATGAAATCACGCCGGGGTGAGGTCCGAGTCGGTCAGCCTTGGTAAGCTAAGGTTTCCCCAACCTTGTTCTTATCTTCTGTCTTCGGAATTCTTATCAAGGTTATATTCATTTCCTCCACAACGACCATCCATTCACTAATTACTTGCTTCAAGTTATTGGGTAAAGTTGTCACTTCACCCCAGAATTATGGCCAAGTACTTCATTTCATTTATTGAATTACTGGCAATATGGTTTGCACATAAGATCGCTATTAAAGGTGATTCCTCATCACGAAAGCATTGAAAAAAAAAATTTTCCTAATATTGCTGCTTATTTTTAATAAAAATCGATATTGATACGTTACATTGATGGGATGTTGAAAACTCCAGCTAGATCAGACAGTCGCCCTCTGCCGGTATCAGCCGAACCAGGACTCGAGGAGGGAGAAGAATTCAATTAGAACAGGTAGCTCCGTTAAATGAATAAGACTCCTGTCCCACCTCCCACTAACGAAGCTCGGGAGCCGGCTGAGTCAAATGAGCCGAGGTTACTGGGCTCTTTGTCCATCACTCGTTACAACAGGTTTTCTTTTACCGTTTCTTACACAATAAGAAAGGTCATTGGCGCATAATGCCTGTACTGTTGTACACCATATCGAAATACGCGGTAGCGTATCGGCCAAGTAAAAATCTAATCTCTATCCAACAAATGAGGCCGAGAGCTACCGTGTATGTATACATGACACAACTACCCCTTCCACTACTTCCAAATCGTATTCAATCCATAAAATATAAACGTCACAAGTTACATGAAAGCGGTGTATAGTTACATCATATCAATTGCCCTCAAGCTTTCAATTGATACAAGTTTTCCCTTTTTTGATTAATATTGGAAAAAATATGCCCATAGAAACGGGGTCATTTCAATATTTTCTCGATTTCTATGATCTTCGAATATATTCAAGTCACTAAGTTGGCAGCAGTTCGATCCACCCTAACCAAAATTTGGCGCTGAAATGTTGCCATCAGTGTAGTCAAACCATCGAAACCGTTGAATTGTAACAGGAAAAAAGAGGAGAATGTTTTATTTCTTCCCTCTCTAAATTTGCGTTTCGTTCGAAAATTATACGCAGTTCTTGACATAGGTATGTCATTACACCTGTTACTGAAGTCAATTCTGGAGGTTAATTGAAGTGTGAATTTCGAGATTTCGATTTTTTTTTAATTGATTCAATCTAATAAATATATAAATGTAGAAAGGTTTTTTTTTCAAATTGCTGAAAAATATTATGCACTGCGTAAAAAAATTATGCAAATAATATACTCAAAATTAAGTAAAAACATGATGTCTGTAATAAAAATTTGAAAAACGTGAAAATAATGTTCAACTTATATTGAAAAAATTTGTTGAAATCTGCCAAAATAACAAAAACTGGTGTTTTTGTAAAAAAAATACTGTGTCAAGTAAAAGTCTCGCTTAATTGATTCCGCAAAAACCCGTCCTTGGTCAAATATGACGTTTCTAGAAATTCAAAAAAACTCGGAAAATGTTAAAGAAAACGCCAAGAAAAGTCATACCACTCGATTGAAAGGATTCAATAATGGAAATAAAAAATCAATAGAGGCAGGTTCAACATACTTGGCGCGGGTCTTCTCAAGAACTACAGTTAGAGCCAAAGATTATCTTCGGCCACTTTGGAATACTAATCAAATTTCATTTTAGCATGATCCTGTGAATACAATCGCGCTAAGTAACTTGATCATGCCTCTATTGATTTTTTATTTTCATTATTCAATCCTTTCAATCGAGTCGTATCAGTTTTCTTGGCGTTTTCTTTTACATTTCCCAAGTTTTTGCTTCCGAATGGAAGCATTGCAATCGTCCGATCCCGACCGGAAAAAAAAATCTAATTTTGCTTGGAAACGATGTAGAATGGTCTGAAATGTAAAAATACAAAAGTTTTTGAGAATGTCTGTGCGTGGTGCCCCCTGGCCAGGGGTGATTTTTTAGTTAAGAAAAGATAAAGGTGGGTAAAAAAATTCCAAAAAATTTGAAATTTCGTCAAATAGTAGGTAAGAGTTGAGGCTAACTATGGAATGAAAATTCGGCTAGATCGGTCAAGCCGTTTTTGAGAAATCGTGATTTGTTTATAAATGGTTTTTTAGAAATATCTCCAAAACTAATGAAGGTATTCAGTTTTGTTTTATTTCATTCCCTTTGCCATGATTGGTTCTATTGGATTCAATCAAAAATTTGAAAATGAACTATGGAAAAAATCATAGTTATTGTCACTTTTATGTTTTTGAAAAAAAAATGTTGTACGCACTCTCACCCCCGCAAAAATCGAGATATCAACTTTAAATTTTGACGAGATTGTCCTTTTGTCACTGCAACGGATGGTATTGAAAATGAGTAGGATTGACTGATTAGTTCCGGAGATATTCAATTTTTAGTGTAAAATGATTATGTGGAAGATCTCAAAATTGACTTGACCGAATTCATTTTTTTTTATATGAAAATGTTTGTCTCGATGTCCCCTATCATTATCAATCAAAATATATAGAGTCGCCCATACAAACTTTTCGAGATATTTAGATTTTTTCGTTTTTCAGTTCAAATTGTTGTACGCATTCTCACCCTCGCAAAAATTGAGCTATTAACTTCGAATTTGGATGAGATTGTCCTTTTATCACTGCAACGGATGGTATTGAAAATGAGCATGATTGACTGATTAGTTCCGGAGATATTCAATTTTTAGTGTAAAATGATTATGTGAAATATCTCAAAATTGATTTAACCGAATTCATTTTTTTTTATGTGAAAATTTTTGTCTCGATGTCCCCTGTCATTATCAATCAAAATATATAGAGTCGCCCATACAAACTTTTTGAGATATTTAGATTTTTTCATTTTTCAGTTCAAATTGTTGTACGCATTTTTTTAATTCCATTCTTTTCGTCATGCTTGGCACTATTGAAATTAATCAAAAACTGGAAAATGCATCCTGTAAGTAATCATAGTTATATGACACTTTTATGTTATTGAAAAAAAAAATGTTGTTCGCTCTTTCATCCGCACAAAAATCAAGCTATTAAGACTGCAAATTTCGACGAAATTGTCCGTTTATCCCTACAATGGATAGTATGAAAAATGAGCTTAATTGAACAATTGGTTTTATAGATATTCAAATTTTAGCGTAAAATGATTATATAGCTCAGAATATCAGGATCGAATTCGTTTTTTAAATTTGAAAATTTTAGTCTAATAGATGCTTAATTGCTACGACCATTTAACATTCATAATAGATCCAACCTGACGAGGAAAAATATATTGTTAAAACCATTCGGAAGCCCGCCATCAATTTATTGATGGCAAAAAAATATACCTATACATTTCGCTAAATCCTCCACAATGATATAATTGTTGTCGCCTACTTTTGCTTCCGAATGGAAGCATTTTTTTAATTTCTAGAAACGCCATATTTTGGCCAAAAACGGGTTTTTACGGAATCAATTAAACGAGACTTTTACTTCCCACAGTTTTCTTTACAAAGACACCAGTTCTTGTTTTATCATATATCATAACCGGTGTTATTGTATATCGATATTTCGAGTCATTAAAACTACACTTTGGAAGCATCTTCACCTATCACCGGTTTACGTGTACAATAGCACGTGCACAACTCTACTGCTCATTAATTAGGGGCGTGCCCAAAAATAACCGCCCAGATCTTTATTGTGCACGTTCCTAAGCCATATGTGCATAACTAAAATTCAATTGTAAATATGTAAATTATACGAAAAATATGTACACAACTGTTTATTTCAAATTAATTCAATGTGCACAATTTTTACGAAAAACGTTTGTTTTCATTTGAGTGTACATCTTTTCGTACATATTCTATTTTATGTGCACACAGGCAAATAACATTGTGTACAATTTAATCAGCGAAATTGTGTGAATAAATTTGATGAGCACGTTTAAAACCCAATTGTGTATATTTCATTTGATTTTTACACTTGTGCACAAACATAATTGTATACGACTCTTATGTGCCTGATTCCTTGTCTGAAAATTTGGTGCATTCACCGAGCAAATTTTTCGAGTTTTCAATTTTCAAAAAAATCCATCTTTCTTAAATTCTCAAGACAAATGAGAAATTTAGTGAGCCTTTTCGATTGAAATTGAATTCTAACTCATATAATTGAGGAAACAAATGGCTTTCAAAATTGAAATTTGAAGACATTTTTTTCACTGCGTATATTATTAAAATCACATTAAAACTCAACAGTTTCGCGGAGTATCTGCTTCGGGGCGCATGCGTCGATTCCACCCTCACCGAGGGGTGGTAAAACCATTTTTTACCCCTGTTCACCCCCGATTTTGTCTCTCTCCACGCCACATGCGCGTCATCCTTGTCCCGCTGGCCTCCCCCTGCTACACCCCCCGTGGCGCCACTTTCAGTCGGGGTCAGTTCAGTCTGTGCTCGACCGGAGACCCCAGCATATCATCCCATATTTTTCTCGTCTATTTTTAACGTTGGCTATTGGATAAAAAAATCGTTGACAAAGTAAGAAGCCCAATAAGTGATCGAGTCTCGGAAACGATGGAAACGCGGGTGCAAACCAGCTGAGTGTCGCCCAGCGATAATCACCGATTATCAGTCATTTACCCCATTATTTAACTGCTCACCCGAGCCGTCCCCGTCGCAAATTCGCGCGATAAACAATGGGGAAACGCCTGACGATGAGAATCTGGGATTAAAAAACCAGGAAATAGTGGATTGTGTTTTCCTTCTGTGATTGTGCTGAGTAATCTGTGTATTCTGGGGTCTTTTTTTTTTACTTTTTTTACCCTGGGGAGGTGGATGGTGGGGAGAAGGGGGGCACCTGGGGGGCCGGGGGAGGCAGTTCATGAGGATGATGGACAACATGGAAATGAAGCGAGTATGAACACTGTGGACATGTCCCGGAGGAACACCGAGACATGAAAGAAGACTTCAGGGTGGGTGGTACTTTCTTTTTTGAATTCTGAGGTGAATCTTTTGTTTCATTCTTCTCTCTTCCTTTGCTCTGTGAAGACACGGACTTTCGCTTCGCTTGCACTCCACAGCTATGACCCTTTCGTGGGACCGTCTCGGTAGGAATCTCGGGATTTTTTTTTCTTCTCGTTTTTCACGGGTTGACTCTTGGGGCAGATTTTTTCGCCACCCGCTCTCAAGCGAAATGAGGTTCCTTGTCTTTTGTTGGGAGGATCGTGTTCTCGCATGGGAATTAACGAGGATGTGAGCTCTGATTTTTTCGGATTTTTCCAAGAGGTCTCAAGACCTAGGGAAATGGAGATGCGGGTGATTATTCTGAAAAATCTGAACGGGAATTGGTCAGTTTTCCACAAATATATTGTAATCTATTACTGATATCAAAATTTTTCATAAAACTTTTATTGTAAAACTGATTGAGGGCTACAGAAACTGTTATTACATAAAAATGGAGATCTCCATTAGATCTGGAGGTATCTCTGGAAAAGCCTTCTAACTCTAATAAACCATCCACTTATCACGATACCTGTAAATGAAATTACTTTAAACTATTTACTTTGATTTAGTGATTAAAACGAAATTCAATGTTCGTCACAGCTGATGTATATGTAGACATGAGCACGAAAAACATGCAGAAATAAGTCGAGATGTATAGAGTGTAAAGTTGAACAATTTAGAATTGAAAGTTGACTGTAAATTCGAAGAAAAGATTTCACTTGAAATTAAGAACAAGGACGAGGTTCATACTGAGTGAACAAATTATTGACGTTCATTTTCTTCCCTTTTTTCTCCGGTCTGAATATCTTTTCTATCGGCTCAGGTTGGGTTTCTCGCGTGCGTTACACGCAGACTATCGATTCTCGCGGGACTACTACCGTTCGCCTTCACACGGACCACGTACTGTCGTTACTACCGTGTATTGTTTTTTCTCCTTTTTCTTCTCCCTCGTCCCTTCCTAACGGCTGGTATGTGCGTGACGTCACGCGCAACAAGGGTTGCCCAGGAGGTGAAAGAGGGCGGTAGGGCCAGGGGTGAAGTTTGAGAGAGGCGGTTTCGATCGACGCCGCGCACGAAGCACTATGTATTCCGATCTTTACGTTTCTTTTGTATAACCAAGCGGTTGAATTTTTTTCATTTTTTCGTTTCGCTTTGTCTCGTTGCGTTGAGCGCACCTCTTTTTACTTTTCCAATCTTTTTCAAAGCCTCGTTTCACTCGTTTTTAGGGCATCATGAGGTTAGGAGACATGAAAGTGGCGGGAAATTGGTGGACCATCGCCATTACATCAGGAAAATACTTGGGATATTGATGTGATATTTATGAGATCGCCATTTGGCGTAGAGTGGAATTTTAGAGTAAAATCCGTGGACAATGCTTTGAGAAAAAATAATGAAAAAAATGTGTCAAGTTTTGATTTCACTTTTCTTTTGTTTTTTCCTATAGGGAAATAACAGAAATTGGTTGCAAAATGGTTAATTATTCCTTATGCAGAGTCTAATAGTATTTTTCACGCCTAGGACGGAAAAAGGGAATCTGACAAGTGCGACTTTATGGTCCGAGTCGGAGACGAGGATTATAACGCGCATGAGTCAGAATCACTTTTTTGCCGTGGCTATGATGCTATTTTATGTCATTATGGCCAAAAACCGTTTTACCGGCCGCAATGACATAAAAATTTTTAGTATTCCCTTACTTTTCACATCTTATAATCACACATTCATATGAGAATCTTCAATTATGATGGAAATGTCAATTTCTACATAGAGTACCGAGTGAAATCTGCATTTTAAATATTTTCCACTTGAAAAAATCGAACCATAATTAAATTAAGAAAAAAATTATGGCTAAAGCCATGATGTAATTATCTCTTAAGGTTATCTTTCTAAATAAATATCTTCTCTGCATATTTATGAAAAAAATTTTATGAATTAGGGTAACATCGTGAAAGTAAAGTACAGCGGAACAACGAAAAAATTGCAAGAGTCAGCAGATAAGATTTAATATCTTTGCCTTTCCAGTGTATTACAAGAATTGATTCTATTAATTGGCAAAATCAGCAGATACTGCTTCTTGCGTAAATTTATTTCAGAGTATAAAAAAAAATGTTGATAGACCATCGTAAAATAGTGAGGGCAAGCTCTAATGAAAAGACGAAAAAAAAGTTGATAAAAATTAGCAGAAAATATTTGTAGCCTCTATCCCTATGCGTTGATTACAGAATTGAATAATTCAGTGGAAGCTCCTCTCAGCGTGAATCACTATTACAAAGGTTTTTTTTTCTATGGCTTTATCCTGCTGTTGAGTGACAAATTCTAGGAGGTGAAATCCCATTTTTCTGGTGGCTGTGCTCCTTTCCCCCCAGTTTATCTTGTAATGAAGATTTGCAAATTCTTCCAATGAAATTATACACCAGGGAATGATGCATTGGGGTGAGACCTCTAGTGGCGGAATTTGAGAAATTGAACGGCTTTCTCTACGTTTTTTATTAATCAAATGTTCTTGTTGGTTCATACATCCAGCAGGGCTAAATTGGGGGAGTCGAAACGGTATTCATTCATAATCCCACGAGATTCCCCGCATAATTCTGACTGACAGGATTCATTTTTTCCATCGGGCCAGAGAGAAATTTCATGCTCTTAATCATGCCAGAGAATTCGATTAATTTGCATGCATATTTATTTCCTACGGGTGTCGGTAATCGTTTTCATTTCCTCCAGTTTCCTATCGAACGAGTGAAAATCCGTTCTCAATAAAAATATTCATCTTAATTTTAATTGACTTTCGTCGTGTTAGAGTTCACTGAAATTTCATGAAGTTTTGCTATTAAAAATGAAGTATTCTATTTTTCCGAGTAAATGATTCGACAATTAATGAAGCATTTGGTTTCTCAATTCGATTATTTCGAGAATGAGGGGACATTCATCCTATTTCATTCCAGAATACTCATGTTCCATTGAGAATTCAATCATGTGATAAAATTTTTATCTTGCTCCCATAAAAAACTCTCCAATTTCGTCGGTCTCCTTACAACTTGAATTTTCAGTCGTTTGTCTCATTAATATGACAGAATAGTACTTTTATGAAAATTACTGTCATATTCTCGATGACATGTTAATAAACTTTTACAATGCATGATTGGGAGATTATTTGTATTGTTATTTTATGTTACATTCACTGAATTTTTTGTTAAGTTTTATTGGAATTCGCAGTAAATTTTATAGTTGTTCATTATTGGAAATGGGATAGTTAAATTAATGAAAACACTGTTAATAAACACTAATCACTATTTCTTTATTAAAATCGCATGAGGAAGAATAACGTCTGAATTCTATCAATATCTACAAGAGACTAAAGACTAACCACAAAGAGCATAAGAACATTCGTCACCGAAGAAAGAACCCTACAATGTATGTTTATACAAACACTGAGGCGACTCCATGGAGCCCTACATATTGATTAATTTTTGTAGTCATCATAAGGCAGTCCAATATATTTCTATGAATTTTAACTTGATATTCTAACAAACATTAAAAGTTCCATTTAAAAAATCTTAAAACTGTAAATTTTAGTCCAATTATTTGAATTAATTGAAAAATTCAATTCAAATGAAATTCGAATAAAAATATTAATTTTCCTGCTTGTTAATCTTTTGAACTTTCAATTAATTCCACCTGATGAAATGCTCATTATCGAATTGATTTTTCAAAAATTAATAGACGCTCGGAAGTTGAGTCCTTTCATATTCTATACAATAAAATAATAATAATAATATTAATAATTGAGTTTGCCAAATGAACTGCCTTGGCAAAAGTGATTTCTTTTCAGTGCAGGAAGTTTATGAAAAATTCGAATTTTTAATGATTTCTAAAAGGGGAAAAAAAGAAGGTGTTCCATAGTAATGTCGGAAAAAATTCATTTCGAGACGAGATTTGCTGTCCTCCGGAGAAGATTAATTTTTTTACAACCCTGATTAAATTTGTCCCCATATAAATTCATCAGCGGCTATCCCGACTAATCAGGACGCGTTTTTAAAAATTTTTTTTCAGGGATATGAGAATAATTTAAGTAGATAAGACATTACGAAAGAGTGTATAAAGAGTAAGGGGAATGGACGTAACAATAAAGAAGGATCAACTTTGGGGTGGGGTTGGGTGAGCAATGAGTTCTATTGCTCGTAAAGTCCAACGAGTGGCACCTTCAGAACGTGATGGACTTGTACGTCTCTCCCGGGTGTGTCCCACCGTTCAAATTTCACAAGTCCAGTAAATAATTTGTTGCTGTCTGCTAAGAGATCGATTTGATTTCACTTCAAAGGAAGGATTCGCTGATCCCCCCATGGAAATCATGTTCAAACGTTTTCGTGAATCAAAATCGAGGTCAAGCATAATGAGACAAATATTCCAGCTCTAATTATTGTCGATATCACTTTTCTCTGAATTGTTGGAGATACGATATCGATCTCCACAAATCAACTCGCATTGTTAGAAAATTACACCTGAAATTTAAAGTGAAAAAAATTGAATTTTTCAACAACTGAAGCAAATTCCTGGCCAAATCCGCGGAGAAATCTTTGTGGACTTAGTGAATTCCTAAAATATTACAATAAGTAATTCTTATTGATAGGTTCGAGGAAAGCGTCCCTCAATTCATGAGGAAAATTACTTGAAATTCAATGCAACACATAGGAAATACTAATTCAAAAATACGCGATTTAAAACGTAATTTACGGGGTGCCTGACCTCATAAATTACAAATTTGCGAAGGTAAATTATCATTCTGATGACGTAAATTACGTATCCCGATCGAATAATTGCGAGTTTTCCCCTCGTGAATTACAAGTTTCTATACCCCATAAAAATGACAATTTAAAAGACCTAAATTACGTTTTATATCTCGTAGCTTACGACTCTGATCTCGTAATTACGGGTTAAGGTCAGACCTCGATTACGATTTTACGACGTGAAGCTTGTAAGTTAGGATTCATAATTAACGTGTTCGA